TACATATAATATCTGTATCTGTACATATGCTACGCATGTTTTTTTTAGTCTTGTTTTTGCTGTATGTCTGTTCTGTTCAAGAACATTGAGGGCAATGAAAAAAAATGGGGACAAATTCCTTGTATGTGGAAACATACTTGGCCAATAAAGTTGATTCTGATTCTAAGCTGCTCAAGCAGACCTCAGAAAAGGATCAATACCAGGTATCTCCCAGAATGCAAAATTCACTTCAAGCATAATCCTAAATGAAGCGACTAATACTTCAGCTTCTATAGTTCTGAAGGATATAAAGAGAAATTATGACACTGCTGATTCATCTACATTCTGCTTAAAAAGTGACGGCACATGGCACAGGTGCCACTCTGAGCGCCTCTCCATTGCCATCCACTTCATTCCGCTCATGGAGCGACGGCACCCGGCGCAGGTGCCACACCGAACGACTCTCCGTTGCCATCCACTTTGCTTGTAATGCTGTGTTAGAATCAGAACAGCTAGATGCAGATGACATCAGCACTGACACACCTCGCTCCAAAAGGGCACAATTTCATTAAAGTTCTATCCATTTCTAAGCCTGTGAATGTGATCCCTCAGCTGCAGTGCATTGATTTGTGCATCTGAAGCAGCGCAGGAATCCATTGATGCCCTAAGAAATCTCAGAGAGAATGACAGGGAATCGCTCAAGTACCGCAGTCACATGTCTTCTGATGAGGCCTCAGCAAAATGCCTAAGGACTGTGAACCCCCGGTTTGCTGATTCAGTAACCTCACACCTTCAGGGCAGGAAGAGCCCTCAGGCACTGAATGTATGACAGCAACAGAGACACTGGGAAGGCAGAGGCTGAATATTGACTTGAAGTGAGCCCTCTCATTTGCTGCCAAAATCCAGCACATTCCTTATCAGCGAACTGCTTGTGCCTTTATGTCATCTTGCAGGAGTTTCCAGAAATGAACTAGACCATGAAATTCTTGTTGCCAGATCAGGGCTCCTGAAGAAGCTGGTGATACAGCTGATGCCAGCTGCTCTGTAATCTGCAAACTCCTACATCAATGTAGAGATGCATTCTCAGCCCGGCATATATTACATGTGTGTGCTGTTACCAGGGAGGTCTCACCAGCCTCCTGTGAGCTCATTCTCCAGTGGTGGTGTAATGGTGTGGGGGATGTTTTCTTGGCACACTTTAGGCCCCTTAGTGCCAATTGGGCATCGTTTAAATGCCACGGCCTACCTGGGCATTGTTTCTGACCATGTCCATCCCTTTATGACCACCATGTACCCATCCTCTGATGGCTACTTCCAGCAGGATAATGCACCATGTCACAAAGCTCGAATCATTTCAAATTAGTTTCAAATTGAACATGACAATGAGTTCACTGTACTAAAATGGCCCCCACAGTCACCAGATCTCAACCCAATAGAGCA